AAGGGGGAACCAACAAGAATGATCTACGTATAACCTGCTCCATGGGGGACAGACGAGAAAAATGGGTGAAGGGAGACATCAGACAGTTTAAGACATGAAAAATTTTTTTTATAAATTATCAAGCATTCATGAGAAAGGGGAGAGTGGGGAAAATGAGGAGCTGATGCCAAGGGCTCAAGTAGAAAACAAATGTTTTGAGAATGATGATAGCAACAAATGTACAAATGTGCTTGACACAATGGATGTATGTATGGATTGTGATAAGAATTGTATGAGCCTTGCCATGCCCTGGCCCCAAAGTCCACCTTCAGCATTCCCTGGGGACCTCACCGCTCCATTCCCTGGCTGTTCTGTTGCACCCCCTTAGTGTTTTGCCTCGGTGTGGTGGGGCTTTGAGCTCTTTGAGCACTTTCAGGAATTGCATAAGTCACTCATGAGATCGTGTAGGATTTGGGGGTGTGACACAGAAGTGAAACAAATGAGTGTGCCACCCTCTGGCTGTTTGGCACTGTTTCTCTTTACAGTCTATGTTTAGGGAAGCAACAAATGCAAGGGGATAAAACTGTAGTCGTTCAGCAAAAGTGTAATGAGTCTTATGAAGTGAATAAACATTACAAGCATCAAAAAAAAAAAAAAGAATTGTATGAGCCCCTAATAAAATGATTTAAAAAAAATAAATAAATAAAAACCAGCCACTGAAACCCTTATGGAGGTCTGCACATAGTGACCTTTTCCTTTAACTGATTATTGGAATCTGCTTGCTTGCTTGGTACCCTGGGCCTTCCTTTTATCCTAAGTGCAAAGGAACACGTGTTCTTTGTGAAAAAAATTCCGAGGTAGCACTGATGCAAACCCCACCCACTGAAAGTGGTGTGGGTGCAGAAATACCCCACGCATCTAGTTGAGTCTTGGAAGATCTGGCTGTAAGAAACAGGGGTTCCCATTCCCCAGAGTCTAGTAGCAGAGACCTAAGTAATGCTGCCAGGCCTTGAACATGGTCTCCTCCCAAAGTGGAGTGACTTCTTCAATTTTTACTTCGCTCTGTCCAGGCTTCACAGATAGATCAATCTTGAAGGCATCTTCCAACACCTGCCGCTTCTGTGCTACAAGCCGCTGCCAGAGAGTCCAGACCATTCTCTGGATGTTGTGCTGGACTGAAAGAGAGGAGACATTGCATAATCATGGTGTGTTTCCAGAAAGGGCCAGGGAATGAATATCATAGCTACTTTTATTCACATCCTCTCATTTAATTTCTTCAATTGCTGATGGGGCATGACTCAAAATGAGAAGAAAGAGCTGTAATATCTACTAATAAATGGAACTTGAAATGTGAGAAGTATGAATATCGGAAAATTTAAAGTCATCAGAAATGAAATGAACCATATAAAAATTGAAATGCTAGGCATCAATGAGCTGAAATAGACTAGTATAGGCCATTTTAAAGCATACAGTCATATGATTTATTATGCTGGGAGTGATAAAGTCAAGAAAAATGGCATTGCATCCTTTGTCATAGAGGATATTTCAAAGTCTCTCTTGAAGCATAATGTCTGTGATAGAATAATGTCCATCAGCATATAAGGAAATAAAGTTAATATAATTATTTAATTTTATGCATCAATGACTAAGCTAGTGATGAAGAAGTTCAAGGATTCTACCAATGTCTTCCATCTGAAATTGATCAAACATGCAATCCAAATGCTTTGGTAATTATTGGCAATTGGAATGCAAAAGTTGGAAACAGAAGAAGAAACAGTAACTGGAAAATACAGCCTTTGTGATATAAATAAACCCGGGAATTACAAAATAGAATTTTGCAAGAATAATGGCTTCTCCATCTTCAATATCCTTTTCAACAACATAAACAATGACTAGACATGTGAACTTCTCCATATGGAATACATAGAAATCAAATTTACATCTGTAGGAAGAGATTATAGAGAAGCTCCATGTCATCAGACAAAATAAAGCCAGGGACTGACTGTGGCAAAGATCATCAATCGCTCATATGCAAGTTGAAGTTGAAAAAGTAAAATAAATCCTTAAAAGCCAAAATGTATTCAAATATACTTTGAATATAATCAAACTACTGACAAAAGCTGTGGGATGACATCAAGAACATTATCCACGAAAAAATTAAAAGATCATTAAAAAGAAAGGAAAGAAAGAAAAGATAAAGTGGATATCAGAAGACATTCTGAAACTTGCACTTAAATGCACATTACCTAAAGTAACTGAAAGGAATTAAGAACTAAAAGAGGTGAAACGTACAAAGGACAACTCTACAAGACAAAGTACAGTATTATAATACAACGTGAAATGACCTGGAGTTAGAAAACTGAAAAGACAGGACACATTCAGCACATATCAAGCTGAGAGAACTAAAGAAAAAAATTTCAACAAAAAAAAAAACAACAATTGAACAGTGTGGGAAACATCCAAAGGAGATAGAAGGAATATACAGATTAAATATATATATAATTGACAATCAATCATTTCAAAAGATAGCATACCATCAAGAACTGATGTCACTAAAGTAAAAAAATCAAAGCTGTGCTGACAGCATTAGCAAAAAATAAAATAAAATGCCCAGGACAAACGTGACGTTTTTAATGTGCTGATGAAATACTGGAAGCACTCACTAGTCTGTGTCAAGAAATTTGGAACACAGCTACCCAGCAAACTGATTGGAAGGGACCCATATTTGTAGTCATTCCAAAGAAAAGTGATCACAGAGAAAGTGGGAATTATCAAACAGCATATTAACATCTCATGAAAATAAAATTTTGCTTAAGATCAACCAACAACAGTTGCAGCAGTACATTGATAGGAAATTGCCAGAAGTCAGGGATGGATTAAGAAAAGGATGTGAAACAATGGATATCATTGCTGATGTCAAGTCAATCTTGGCTCCAAGGAGGAAGAAATAACAGAAAAATATTTATGTGTGTGTATATCGTTAATAACCAACTATGAATAGCCTTGAGAAGAATGGGAATGCCAGAGCACTTACTTGTGCTCATGTGGAATCTGTACATGCATCAAGAGGCATTTTTTCAAACAAAACAAAGGAATTTTGCAAGGTTAAAAGTCAGGAAAAGTATACATCAGGGTTGTATCCTTTCACTACATTTATTCAATCCGTGCGCTGAGAAAATAATTCAAGAAGCTAGGAAAGTGGCATCAGGATTGGAGTAAGGCTAATCACTTCTTATTAACAATCTTCCATATGCAGATGACACTTTACTTGCTCAAAGCAAGTAGGACTTGAAGCACTTGTTTATGAAGATCAATGATTTCAACTTTCAATATGGATTACAAATCTATTGTAAGGAAAACCAAAATCGTTACAATTGCACTAACAGATGAACGAAACATATTGAAACTCAACGATTTCAGTTTACTTGCATCCATATTGCAGCGGCAGTCAGGCGATCAAAAGTGCCTTGCAGTCTGTAAGCCTGTTGCCGGAGATCTGATGTCCGTGCTCTCTGTTGAAGAGCACGAGTGTCTCCTCTCTGAGGACCAAGGTGTGTTTGACCTAAGCCATGATATCGTCAGTCCCCTAATAAGTATGTGAAAGTTGGACACTGAATAATGAAAACAAAGAGTAACTGAAACATTGTAATTATGGTGTTGGTGAAGGACAATGAAAGTACCATGGACTAACAAAAAAACAAAGCGGTCTTGGAAGATGTACGGCCAGAATGCTCCTTTGAAGCAAGGATGGCGAGACTTTGTCTCATGTACTTTTGACATGTTTTCAGGCAAGACCAGTCTCTGTAAAATGACATCAAGCTTGGAAAAATAGAGGGGCAGCAAAAATTAGGAAGATCCTTGATAAGGTAGACTGAAAATAGTGGCTACAACAATGGGCTCAAGTTCACAACAGTTGTGAGGATGGCACAGGAATGAGCAGTGCTTCCTTCTGTTGTTTATAGGGCCACTGAACAGTACCTGATAACACCTAATTATTTTTTATCATTTTACTGGGGGATCTTACATATAACAATCAAACAGACTTGTACAATTATTGGCGCCAACAATTTTTAAACATTACCTTTCTTCTTGAACCCTTTGATATCAGCTCCTCTTTTATTTCCCTCACTCCCCCATCCTGCCACCCTTAATATATTATGTATTGCTATTATTTATACATATCTTAAACAGCCCATTCTATCCCCTCACCTACTATCCTGGTATTTGTCCCTCTTGAGATGGTTTTTCTGCCACCATGGCTATCCATTACCCCTTCTTCCCCTTCTCTTTCCCTACCCTTCTGGAATCACCACTCCCATGACTGTTTCTGAGGGGGTTTGTCTATTGTGAGTTCTATATATTGAAAGCTCTAATCTGTGCCAGGTTATGTACATTAGTCTAGCGCTATTTGCGAGGTATGATTGAGATCATAATAGTGGGCGGAGGAAGAATTAAAGAACTACAGGAGTGTTGTTTTTCCTCAAACACCTAATTTCTTAAGGTTCATCCAGCATTGTGAGGACTTAGCAGAAGTCAGTCAGGAGACAGAGTCATAGGACTGAGAGCAAGGCTCTAACCCTCAGTAAGAAATGGGCTTTCGTTTGTGTCTACTTATTGGTTCCAGTTCTAGTACCTTCCTGCCCTCTCATTTCCAGATCTGGGGAACATGATTAATGGGTATGGGGAGCCTCAAACACTAATTGTGTTGTATACCAAACAGAAAGATTCCTTTTGTGAGCTCCAGGTGATGTAATAGCCCTCAATTTCTCCAATCTTCCTTTTCAAATTGGTTTCTCAGGGAAATAGACACAAACCCAAAGCTGTACCAGGTCCAAGCAAATTCTTTTCCCTGCTTTGGACCACATTTGTCATCACCATCCATTTCAATGCCTTGAGTTTGTCTAGATATGCTCAGATATGCTAAGCCAGTTGTGGCTGATGTATCCCACACCTATAATTCTCAAAACAATGTATACATTTTCTCTGATCTTGAATTGCTGAGCTCCACACAGTCCCCAAACTTGGCTGTTGAATCTAATTTGTTCACACTAGATAGAAGGGCATTGCTCAGTTCACCTCTACTGATAAAACCCCAGAGTGTATGCGTGTTCATGTTGTAAATAAACTGTGTTAGAGTAAACTTTCAGTCATAAGAGGCTTGAGCACTGGCTTAGGGAACCCTCTGGTCAGAACTCAGGGGCCCTGGTGCACACTACCTTATATCGTAAAATAAGTGAGAAAGTATACAAACCAACATGGTAGAAGAAAGTCTAATACTGCTTCATGGCTCAAGAGAGAGCAACCTCTCAAATAGATCTGGTGTTACATTTACATAAATTGCCAATCACTTTAACTTGATTTGGGATTTGTAAATTCAACAAACTCTGTCAAACCAACAATCTCAACCAAAATAATACCGTGTTTCCTTGAAACTAAGACATCCCCTGAAAATAAGACCTACTTGTAGTTTTGCCTCTCACTGAAATATAAGGCATGCCCCGAAAATAAGACCTTCCCAAAAATAAGGCCTCCC